CTCAAGGCAAAGTGACCTGTTATAAAATGTAACAATGAAATAGGAGCCACTGAAAAAGTGCATATTTTTTCTCTCCCCCCCAGAATTTCCACCATTACAGCAGCCACCAAGTAAAAAGAGCATGCTGGCTGTAGAGGGATGGTGGCAGCTTTACCACCCCTTCTCCACCCTCTGCTTGCTCTCCACCAGGAGCCTTGGCAGTCTTGTCCTGTAGCCTGCACTGCTGTGCTTTATGCCAAAGAAGGAGCAGGAAGGGAAGCCCTTCCCATCACTCCAAATACACAGGGGTGGGCTAAGGTTCACCTGTGATGGGGAAGAACAACTCTACCTGCCCAGAAGTTATCCAGTAATTAAAAACATTACTTTTTATATTAATAACTTGTATTATTGGGGGGGGGCTTGCAGTGGCACACAGGGCACACAGTAGTTGTACGTCCTTTTGGTTGATGGTAACTGCCTGCATGGCTCTCTGTGAGCCATGGAGTATCACTGGTGTAGAAAGTAACAGCCCCAAATGAAGATCAAGCTCCAAAGACTCCGCGGAGTTGCTTCCAGTTTAATGTTAGTAATAGCAGTGTAGACTCACTAGTGAGTGGTTTCTTGTACTTGCTGGCTCTTGTGGGGTTTTGGCTTGAATAGCACAGTTGTTGATGCAGCATGCAGGTGGAAGCTGGCAGCTCTCTGCCTTTTTATAAGACAAGGGATATGTAGCACTAAATGGGGATTAAATGCAGCCAGGTTGAAGTTACACATGTTCTTTCCCCATGTCTGTTTGTCATTCGATACTCCTCAGTGTCGTCATTATTTTTCAGTGTGCCATTGGGCCTTAGCTTTGGTCCTTCACTTTTCGTTCATATGAAGGCTGTAGGCACTATTGTACTTGGGCAATTTTACTGGCTGAAGGCTTATTTCTGTTAAGTATTCTACACTAGAGGCAAGATACATAGAGCAGAAGGAGCCGAGAAGGTGATAGAAATACTGTGCGACTGAACAACAACAACAATTTCTAAAGTAGGCTGTATCCTACAGAAGCATATGCCATAAAAGTAATTAGTCTTTAAAGTGCACTGAGGATCCTTTTTTTTTTTAAGCCACCTAGTGAGAGTGTGCCATTCAACAGCAATGGGCTACATTCAAACCTCGGCTCATATGGGCTTGCTGGGTGGCCTTAATTGGGTCACTCTGGCAAGCTCTCTCCTTGTTTCTTGGTAAAAGCAGAGGCATAGGGGCCTACTTCACATAGCTGAGCATGAATTGCCAGTGTTAAAAATTCTTGGCGCTGTTTAAAATGTATTGGATATGAAACACAGAGTTGCCTCAGCAAATGTTAAGAATGGGAGAGGGAGAGAGAACTTGCCTTCGAAATCCAGTTTCCTTCCTTTTTTCCGTCTGTGAAATCAACGGAGGTGCTGTACAATACAGGCCCAGGGAGGGGAGGATTAAACATTCACTAATATATAATTGGCACAACTCAGTACATTCCATAACACAAGGGAGAAAGTGTTGGGTGCCACCTCTTCCATCGTTTCTCTGCCCCACCCTTCAGTTGCTCTTTCTTAATTGTGTCCTTTTCATAAGGTCTGGTGTTCTTGTCTTTTGTATTTATTGTGAAAGAGAAGAGAACAGTAACAAATGCAAAAAGTTAATCAATCCATATATCCCAGAACATATGATGCCACATCAAGGATATTATTATATTAACAAAAATGAAGGTCATAGAGAATATAAAGCCACAGGAAAAAAAAATAAATTTCCAAATTAAAAAAACCTTCATTTTAACACAAACTAATCAGAATCTTTGTTCAATATGTTCAAACAACAATGAAAACTAACAATAGAGTAGGGCTTGGACATACCCTTTTCAGAGAACTGAGTATGCAGGCCATGTATTTTTTGTGCCCATATGAAATTAACAAGCATCTTCTGCTGTTTGGTCATGAATAACATAATAGCACTGTAATGATATCCAAAGATGAATAAAATTTGTAGTAATGCCTTCTAAATGACTGGGATAATAAGCCTACTATCAATATAGCCTTGGAATGAGACAAAGGGAGATACTTTTATCTTCAGAATATAAACCTAAATAAAAAGGGCCAGAAGAAACTGGGAGATGAGAGGAAAAAATAAATAAATTTTTAGAAAGAGAAATGCTCTCACACATTTTAAAACAGCTTTCAGTGTAATGATTGTTCAAAAATATATACACATCTATAGGGGTTTACTAGGTTATTTTTTTATATTATTTGAATTCTGAGTCAGTCACATACTTACTAAGAGAACCTCTCATCTTAGGCCAGGCTATTACTGTATACTTCTATATCTTTATATTCCCCAGGCCATTTCTGCTTTTGCTTAATCATTAATGAGTTCAAATCAACCGTCTTCAGATTACACTTCTTACAGTGCTTCCTCAGATGGGCTTTGATAGACCAATAAGTCCTGCTGCCTCTTCTCCTGCCATTTCTCCAGGATCCCCATCAGGATCCTCTTGGCTTTTTGATGTGCAAACCTATTGTGAATGGTGAGTTAATAAAGTATCCTGCTTTTTAGTGGCTCCAGTGTAGTGACTTTATTTAAGAATTCTTTGCTTTTCTATGGCTTTTCTATTCTATTACTGGTTCAAGCTTGGACTATTTTAGATAGGCTGGGGCTGCTCCTGTAAAAGGAAGGGGTAGCTTCTCTCAGCAGGTTGTGTGTTGAGTGGATGTACAGAGGCACATCTAGAGAGCCAATGGCATATCATGACCAATGTTCCCTCTAAGCTGTGGAGTCTTGTGAGCAGAAATTCTACTTTCTGAGCGACTGGCCTTAAAGTTGTGAGCGAGCGATTTGGCTACTGCATAAAATAGTTTGCTCTGGAGCCCTCCTTCCTGAGCTAAGACAAGAATGTGTGAGCTGGAGGCTAAAAAACTGTGAGCTAGCTCACACTAACTCAGCTTAGAGGGAACACTGATCATGACATGAAAGAGGGTGGTCTGGCTTTTATTACTGCAGGTTAGTACAGTGTGGAATTCTTTTTTATGCTTAAGGTTGCTGATGCTCTAAAGGAAAAAATGCCTTACCCCTTCAACAAGATGCTTGATCTCCTCCGCTTGTCTCAGTCAGATTGGCTTACACCTATAGGTCACCCATCAGCTGGACCATCAGGGCGCAGGGAAGACTTTATTCCACGGCTTCAAGCCGTCGAAGAGGCTAACCCTCAAAAGCCCTCTGGCTTGGAACCCACCGCAAGGGTTCCGTGGGAGTGCCACTTGAGGTGGCATCCCTCCAAGCCGAAGGTGTGCTAGTCGCCTCCTCGAGCTCCGAGGAGAGCGACCGCCATCGCCGATCCATCCACCAGAAGCTCCATTCTCTTATTTTCTTATTGGTAAATTGTAGGAAGACAAATATGTTTATTTGATGATAATATGATCCTTGCTTTATTCTGGTAGTTTCACATGTTAGTTTTGGTATTTCAATGCACTTCCTTCCCTTTTATAGTCTTTGTAGTAATAAATTAAATAAAAATTTCAAAAAAAGAAAAGAAAAAGGAATTCAGGGCATGGCTGTTCCACATGTCTGCCCTATCTCTGGGTTTTCACAGTAGTGGAGTCAGTTTATTTTCTTCTGTGTGTACCTTACATAACCAGGGTTTTCAAGGGAGGGTGCTGGCATTGTGGGTGGCTTCACAGCACACAAACACCCTTTATTTTTTGTGCATGTTTATATCAATATCATGGCTGCATTTTTTAAAGACACAACAATATCAATATATGCTGTGATTATAAGGTCAGGCAGGCTCTCTGAATTCCCAGCTTCCATTTTTTTAAAAAGTCCCAGGCCTCTTTCCTAGCAGAGATTTATTTATTTATTGGATTTTTATTCCCCCCCCCCCCAGCGGGCTCAGGGTGGATTACAACAAAACAGAGTTGGAGACATGTCACAATAAAATTAAACTTCAAGACAGCAGCAATTACATAAAAAACCTGTTAGGGCCATGTAGGTGGAATCAATGGGGACTTTTAGATTGGAAACTAGAGCAGGGAGGCCAACTGAGATGGACACCCACTGCCTTTCCCGAAGGCCTAGTTTTACAGGCCCTCCATTTTACAGGCCCTGCTTTTTTCCTTATATTTCTGCAATGAAAGGAGATAGAGACTTGAGCTTTTTAGAGACTTGAGCTTTTTTAAATGAAAGCTGGGAATTCAGGGAACCTGCCTGACATTTTACTTTGTACGGCTGACAGTTTGAGGGGGGAAGTTAATGTTTTTATTGGCATTTTGGTGCAGCTTTTTGCTGTCTCATGTCAAAACAAAATCCCCTAAAGACTGCACAAAATGTTAGAATCTGGGGTTCAGAGGCATTTACTGTCCTAGATTCTCCCAGACAGGCCTCTGATTCAGAAGCCTGGGTAACAGCGTGACAAGGTGTGCCTGGCATATGTAAAGCAAAGCTAACCTTCTGCTTTGCGCTCACTTCTATTTCCACATTAGGAAGCCTTGTAGGAGTTGAAGGAATCTTGGATAAGAACTTGCTGTAGAACTGGGTGTTGGTTGGCTTGCGTGAGAAGTGCTTGTATCATGAATATTTTTTCTTTTCACTGGAGCCTCTTCAGCAATTACATAAACATGGTGCTGATTTCTTCTTTTGGGGTGGAGAAAGTATCAACTTGTGCCGCTAGGGCAGTGGGAAAGCCCGCTTCCATTTATGCAGTCATCGGGTACTATTTCCCTTTGCCAGATTTCCCATTCTTTGAGTATTCAGCAGATATAGCAATATAAAGATTGCAGTTTTCACAGCTTTTGTTCTAAGTATTTTTGTGGACGTGCCCCAGGATATGAGGGCTAGCAGACCCAGATTCATTCTGTGTTAAGGCAGTATTTGCTTCTAAATAGATGTTGGCACTCTTGCCCAAGTTCACTATAGCTGAAATGAAACTGATGAGGAAGAGTGACTAGAAAGATGATGAAATAACCATTAACCATCTTCTGAATGCTGCTTGTGATTCTCTGTTTTAGGATGAATGGCGACCTCGGCTCTGCCAGATGAAGAAGGGCCCCAACGGGTATGGGTTCAACCTCCATAGTGACAAGACCAAGCCAGGCCAGTATGTCCGGGCTGTAGATCCAGACTCACCAGCTGAATCTTCAGGACTGCGCCCACAAGACCGTATTATTGAGGTAGAAATTGTGGAGTACTTCAAGGGGCTAAGTGTAAAGGTTTTCAGTTGGATATTGCCAACCCAACAGAATGCCCAGTATTTCATGGGTAGGATCGGCAGTATCCACTACTGCTTCTGCCTCCCTAGTCCCAGTAATACCAGAATTAGGTCTGGTCTTCCCACTGAAATTGGTGGCCTTTTAAATGCCATGAAGTAGCGGGGGAGGTCGGATGGGCCCTTCCTGATAGTTTTAATTAAATATTGGGAGGACTCTGTAACAATATGTCAGAATGTTACAATACTCATGATATTTAATACAATATTCACGATACTTAATAAAAACAATAATCATGCCCTTCCCAAAAAAGAATCAAAATGATAACCTTGCTAGTGCATACCCCAAGCTGAGTAAGTGGGCATGTCCATACAAAACAAAATCATTTTGTGGTATGAAAATAGAACGTGCAATGAAAAGAGATGGCGGAGTGAAGTTGCTGCAGCAGCAGAGACCACTTTCGTGGCATATGGCTCTTTATCTCATTTTGCATAAGTTACTACAATTGGACTCAAAGTCAACATGCTTTCATTTTATTTATTTATTTATTTATTTCCTCAATTTATATCCCACCCTCCCCGCCGAAGCAGGCTTTTGTATCATATCCAGTTATTTCTCAGAAAATTGAAGTATGACCAGGTAACCAGAATTCCATAGGGATTACTGGCAGGATAGGTCACTAAAATGTGACCGAGCAAAAATAAAGTAACCCAGTTACTTGTTAAGAGCTTCTCAAATGCAGCTTGTGAAGTTGAAAAAGTTAGTGCCAGCATGTCTTGCCAGTTTTTCAAAGTGCCTCCCCCTCCCCTGCCTTAAGGGAGACATACTGCCAGTGACCTTTGCTGTGGTTAAGTCCCATTTCCTGACTTGGGAGTAATTCTTGTTTTACAGCTTTTCCAAACACCTAGGTTAGCAGCCTGACGGACCATAAGTCTGTGCAATCCAGTGTTTCTCAATGATCTCAAACTCTGGCATTTGTTCTATGGGTAAATGCATGGAGACTGTTTTATGCAGTAGTAATGCAAATCATTGCTGATTTGGTTGAATGTCATTTCAGACAAAAGGAGGAGGAGATGAGATTGGATTTATACCCTGCCCATCAATCGGAGTCTTAAAGCACCTTACAAACTCTTTTCCCTTCCCCTCCCCACAGCAAACACCCTGTGAGGTAGGTGGAGCTGAGAGAGCTCTTTCCAGAACTGTCCTTGAGAGAACAGCTCTGACAGAACTATAGCTTGCCCAAGGTCATCCAGCTGGCTGCATGTGGTGGAGTGGGGAATCAAACCTGGTTCTCCCAGATTGGAGTCCACACACATAACCACTACACCAAACTTTAATCTGGAGTGCAAATGCAAGGGCTTCCCTGGCTCGAAAGCCAGTCAAATCCGACTCTAGGGATGCGGTGTTCATCTCTGTTTCCAAGCCGAAGAGCCAGCGCTTCTCCGTGGTCATGTGGCCAGCATGACTAGACGCCGAGGCGCACGGAATGCTGTTACCTTCCCGCCGAAGCGGTACCTATTTATCTACTTTCAATTTCTTGCTTTCAAACTGCTAGGGTGGCAGGAGCTAGGACCAGAGACAGGAGCTCACTCTGTGACGCGGCACTCGGGTCTCGAACTGCTGAACTACCGGCCTTCCAGTACTGGAGTACTGTCCCTCTATTTAGGGTTTGGTGTAGTGGTTAAATGTGCAGATTCTAATCTGGGAGAATCAGGTTTGATTCCCCACTCCTCCACTTGTAGCTGCTAGGTGACCTTGGACAAGCCATAGTTCTGTCACAGCTTTTCTCTCAGGAGCAGTCCTTGAAAAAGCTCTCTCAGCTCCACCTACCTCACAGGGTGTCTGTTGTGGGGAGGGGAAGGGAAAGGAGTTTGTAAGCCGCTCTGAAACTCCAAGTGAAGGGCAGGGTATAAATCCAATCTCTTCTTCTCTTCTTCTTCCATCACAGAGCTTCTGCTCTGTGGAATAGGCTCTCTTAAGAGGTGTTCAGGAGGCACTGCAAGGTTTGTTTGTTTAGGATTTTGATGGGATATGGAAGAAGGCATCTCTTAGGGGTGGGAAAGGTATTTTGTCTTAATTTAATTTGGTTTTAATCTATATTGTGTAAGATTATCTGTAAATTTCCTTGAGGGAAGAGGAAAGATGGGGTACAAATTTAGCACAAGTGAAATACATTGTTCCCATGCCCCCCATTCTCACTTTCATCTGGCAACAAGATACACTTGGTTGCTGTAGCATCTACTTGAAGACCAAAACTTTTCCATCTCCAGCTGCGGTGTGTTCAGGGGCCTCTGTGAGTGGATCCTTCTGAATGCTGCTTTTTATTATCACACCGTCAAAGTGCATGGCGTTTTACAGAGTAATAAACAGACTGGTACTAAAAGGCTTGAACTAGGGGAGGACAAATGTATTAGTTGTCCTGGCACCAGTTACAGCCAGATCTTTCATGCTGAAGCTGTTCAGGGATTAGCAGCGAAGCCAGCAAAACCTCATTAAAATCAGATTTTCCTGAAGCGATTAGCACAGGATTGCACAAACCAAGCTGCCAGGTGTGCATAACCAGAGATGCTCACAGCCTAGATTATAGGCCTGCACCCAGCACGTGATATTGTGGACAAACTGACTGAAAGGCTGGCAGGCAAGCTCAGATGTGTAGATTTAAAATGGCTGGAAGAAATGTCCCCTGTGTCTTATTTGCTGTGGGAGATCTTTCCCTGCCTTGCCACTCACGAGCCTTTTAACTGGCAATGCTGAAGCATAATCTGTGATCCAGGGTTGGCTGAGAAAAGCCATTTGATATGAATGACCATTTGGTTATCCCTACTTACAGCTGTTGGGTGTTGGCTATCTGGCAACAAACCTGTTGGAAAAGATTTCAGCACTAGCCACCTGCATTCTACAATCATTTCAGCAGTCATAGAATCCACATGCCCTGCATGGCTGTGTTTATTCATCTTGCACTCTGCCTTGAAGTTCATTAAATGAACTAGGAAACCACTCTATCTCTGAGGCTAACCTATTCACAGGCTCACTGTGAGGATATAATGGGGAGGCAAAGCACTGTATATACCTACCCAAGCTCCTTTGAGGAAGAGCAGGATCAAAACGCAACAAACAGTCATAGAGAACTAGCAGACCTCTATGTTCTTGCCATGACAGAAGAAAATTGGTGCATAAATGTAATAAGAAATAGTAATAATGTGATAAAATTTTAGGTATGACTGTGCACTGCTAGACAATCGAAGGAAATGAGCCATAAATGTGGATGTATTCCAGACTGCTTATCATAATGTGAAATGACAGCCAGATTACTATAACCCACGTTGTTGGTGAAAAGGATTCCTGAGAGTCATGGTACCTAATGTTTTTTGTTAAGTGAGGACGGCAGAATAGTTACAACCAGGGGTCATTTCATAGAAAAAGGGGTGCAGGAGCTCATTAGCACAACTCATTTGCATATGCCACACCCCCTGACATCACCGGAAGTGTGTCAGAAGGCAACACCCACCGTTTAGGCACCCCTGGACTGTTTTGGATTGCTTGTTTGGGGGGGGGGGGAACGTGCAGATCTGTCGTCGCAGAGGAGGGAGAGCTTGTACCTGAATAAAACCTGGTCTTAAAGGTGCCACTGACCGTTTTGGGCCGGGGGGGGCGGTCGGGGCTCCGCAACTTACCTGGCTGCTTCTTGCTCTGAGGGCTACTGGGAGCAGGGGGTGCGGCATGTTGCATGTGCCCGTCCCCTGGGCTCTTTACTGCTGGAGCTCCGCTCCTGTGTGCTCCTGCAGGAATTGACCCCTGGTTACAACAAAGTAGTGGCAGCCGCAGCATGATTTGAGTGGTCATGTGACTGCTTCCTCAGCCTAAGGCAGCCGCTTCTCTTGGAAACTGCCCAAGTCTCTTTCTGTGGTCTCAAAGCATGTTGTTGTCTTGGCAGGTGAATGGGGCGTCCATGGAAGGCAAACAGCACTCTGATGTAGTTGAAGCCATAAGAGCCGGCGGAGACGAGACAAAGCTGTTGGTGGTGGATAGCTTAGCAGATGAATTTTTTAAGAAGTGCAAAGTCCTTCCCTCAGAGGAGCATCTGACAGGTGAGGAAGCCTTGGTTGCCAGAGTGTGGTGGTACCAATTGTGTGGTACATAAAGAAATATCTTTCCAATTTCTGGAAGGTTTGTGGTAAGGTACTGTGAAAATGAGACTGGCTTGGAGGCTAATATTCAAGATAGTATTCTTTCTGGGTTAATGTATATACTCCAGTTAATCATTCAGTATATATTGTTGCAGTCATGAACTGAAATATTTGAAGTACCCACCAGTCTCATCCAGATGCAGTTCTGGTTTCTTGGAAACCTTGATTTGCAGTCTAGGAGCTGGCCTTTAGAATGCATACTCCTTCTATTCCCCTTCTTGACATGTTAACCAAAGTTCACATATGAATGAAATTATGGTTATGGGAGAATTTGGTTAGTGTAGAGGCCCATGTAAACTCTATTCCATGATGAATAAGGCGGTTAAGGGGGGCAGCATGTCCTCAAGGCTGGCTCCTGACTGGCAGACCAGCGTTCTCAGGGAGTCAGTGTTCCAGACCATAAATGTGCATTCAGAACAGATGGAAGGTGGCTTTCTTTTCTTCTCATTTTGGATCTTGAAGAGAGCTAATGAGGAAATGAGTTATCAGCCCTTCTAGCCAATTTATTTATGTGCTGTTGGATAGTAGTAGCTGCTCTTTAGGACAGGAGAGTTGCCATTCCCATTGTACAGCCTACTTAAAAGTGCCGGGAGGGCTTATTAACATAGTTCCACTAGTAAGCTAGTTTGTAATGTAGCCTTTACTTGCAGTGAAAATAGTCTGCAAACAATGGCATTTACCATTTCTTCGGGTGCATTAGCTGCAAGCATTTGAGTGGGTGACCTTGGGCCTGCTCTCCATAAAGCATTTGCAGGGGAGAAGCCAGGTGATCCTTATTACATGGAATGTACATCAAGTATACTGCCAGTGGTCCTTCTAAGAGCATCTGTTTAGGCCAATAATTGTGAATCAGCTTAGTTTCCACCAGATGTCCCTAACAAGGAATATTCTTGTCACGTGTGTGTGGCATATGATTATAATGTTAATACAGACTTTGACCATTGGATCATTTAGACAGTAGATTTTTATTATTGACTTCATTGATACCTCTTCTTGCTTCTCAATGGGGACCTAAAGCAGCTTAACATCATTCCCCTTTCCTCCATTTTACCCTAACAGCCACCCTGTGAGGTAGATTATGCCGAGGGTGTGTCTGAGCCAAAGTCACCCAGCAAGCTTCCATGGCATGTTGGGAGTTCAAACCTGGGTCTCTCAGGTCCTAATCCAATACTCCAGTCACTAAACCACACTGGCACACTCAGTACTGTCCACCCTGAGTGGAAAAAAGTTCTCCTAGGTCTTAGGCTGATACTTTCCATGCAGATCTAAAGCATCGTATTTGGACTGGAAAGGTATGTGTTAGTCCAAGGAGCGAAGACACCCCCCCCCCCCCCCCCCCCCGTGACTCCCTCCTGCTCCACGCCCAGAGGATGGCAAAAAACCTCCAGGCCATTTAGAGGCTTAGAGAAGGCCTTCTCCAGATCATATTTCTAAGCCATTAACCTGAGTTCTCTCTGTGTATGGTTAGTGACTCCCAGGCTCTTGTTCCTCACTATTTCCTAATTTGACAGGCAGGGCCTGGCACCCACTATTCATTAGCCATGCAAATACAGGCATGCAAATGTGATCGCCTCTCGTAGGCTGAAAATGAAGAATATGTTGCACACATCCCTGCTTTCTGCAGTGACTGGAAAGATTTGCACCTTTCCAGTTCTATCTTTTTGTTTCTTCTCTTGCCCCCACTGCCTTTGGGTGAAAGCTTGCAGTAAAACCTCATCAGCTGTTCCTTAGCTCTCCCGCTTCTAAACGTCTCAGCATTTGAACTGCCTTCAAATTTTTGCACTTAACCCCTCTTAGAGTGAATGTCTTAGGGTCTCATTACACAAGCTGTGAAACACAACTCACATTTCACATCTGACTGTGACTCACCTTCAAAATAGTGTGTGTGGGGGGGTACAAATCAGCTGTGGAGCCCTATGTAATAGCAGGAGGGGCTTCCGTCTTCCCTCCCTCCTGTCCTGCGGAGGTGCTTTCTCTCTCTGCCAGTTCCATGCGTCTCCCCAAGGGAAGATTGAAGCCCCTCCTGCTGCTGCTCCATGCTCCACAGCTGATTCCCCCCCCAACTATTCTTGCAGATGAGTCCAGATCAGACAGCAAATGCAAGCTGGCCTAATTCACATTCTGTGTCTCATGTAATGAGACCCTCAGGCTCTGTCAAAAGGCCTTGGAGCAGCTTTTCACGTGTCTAAAGAATGTATCTGCTAAGATTACTGATAGTTGCATTGTAGTGCAGAGTGTGTTGGGGTTTTGGCTCACTTTTTTAAAAACTTGCACCTAGTTTGTCTTATGGGCCAATCCTAAACAGAGTTACACCTTTCTAAGCCCATGAATTTAAAGGGCGTAACTCTTAGGATTGCATAGTTACTTTAATTCTTCCATTTGTTTCAGTGGGCAATGCAATTCTAGCTGCTCTGCTTCTTATCTAATTGTGATGCCATTTTCAGGGATTGTATGACCCTTTGACCCTTCCTTCCAGCAAAAGGTGGTAATTTCTCTTGTAGAACTGGTCCAAGGTGGCATGTTAAGTGCGTTTTTCCTGCTTTCCAGGATCCTCAACTTCACTCAATTGTTGGGGGAAGTCAAGTGTCAACTTTTAGACAAAAGCAGAGCATGCAGGCATGGAGAGTGAAACTGTTTCCCCTGCTTTACATTGCTGTACTTGATTATTTTAGCACTTTTCTCGCAGTCCACATTAGATACTGAAATTAGTCAGGCTGGGCAAAAAATAGTGGAATCAGAGTTCAGTGAGGTAACAATGGTAGAAGGCAGGTGTGTGTTTAAAAATAGGCTACCACTGCCTTTTTTGACATATAAATGGGTGGATATGTGCATAAATATTTGAGGATCACTCAATTTGGCATTGCATTACAAGTTACCTTGCTCTTCCCAGTTACTCTGTGCCATATTCCTCATCCAATTACTTCTCCTGTGGCTGCTTTTAAAATAAAATTAAATAGGTAGAGAGCTCTTTCCTCATCACCAATCTCTTGTGTCTGGTTTGTGCCCAGTCATCTTATATTTGCTGTTTTGGGTTTTTTTGTATGGGTGATGTTTGCCTTTATTTCCCTGTCCCAGTCTGCATCATTGTAGCGTGCCTACTTTCCAGACAGTACAACCAAAACTTTTCTCTGTCCACTGAAAGTGTGAGGAATGTAGCCGTGCTGTTAGCCAAATTGCTCTAAATTGTTATCAATATTGGGGAATTATGAATTATTATTAATAAGCAATTGGCAAAGGGAGCTTTCACCTGTATATACAGAGGTTGCCACTTATCCAGAGCACCAGTAACAGACAAGCAGGCTGATATTAGTTTAAATCAAAGTCTTTTACTGTATATTATACACATTCAAATATTACACAAACACACACACAATTATACAGGGCTAAGAAACTTAGAGAGACTGGGATAGCACATTCACTTTAGCAGGAGTTTTGTTGGTTTGGCAATACTTTTACCTGATCCTGAAGAGATGAAGTCTTCCAAATGGAAAAATAAGGAAACTCTAGAAAATGGGATTCATGCTAGGAAAAGGAAGCGTGCAGGCTGAACCAGCAGAAAGCACGTGGGACTATAGCTGCAGTTCCAGAGTCTTGAGGCAAGGGTTGTTTTTTTTTTGACCAAATGGCCATAAGTTTCAGAAGCAGAGATTATAGGGGTCCTGGGGGAGGGGAAGAGAGAGCAAGAGAGTGAGCACATGTCTGGGTGTCCCTTTTAAGGGGGGGCTTGGGGGGTAGTGCCAGGCTCGTTACATGTCTTGGCCTACCTCCTACTAGTCCATCCCAAAAACATGCTATTGGCTGGCAGGAAGAGGGGAGGGGAACTAAGGAGTGGTCAATATTGAGAGCTAGTAACTTGGACTGGAGCTGCGGTGGCTCAAGTGGTTAAGACACTGAACTGCAGGCTGTGGAAGGTCGGCAGTTCAGCAGTTCGAGACACGAGTGTGCCGCATGACGGAGTGAACTCCAGTCTCTAGTTCCAGCTCCTGCCAACCTAGCAGTTCGAAAGCAAGAAATTGCAAGTAGGTAAATAGGTACCACTTCAGTGGGAAGGTAACAACGTTCCGTGCGCCTTGGTGTTTAGTCATGCCGGCCACATGACCACGGAAATGTCTTCGGACAGTGCTGGTTCTTCGGCTTTGAAATGGAGATGAGCACCGCAACCCTAGAGTCGGATTCGACTGGCTTTCGAGCAAGGGAACCTTTACCTTTTAACTTGGACTTGAGGGTGGCACCTGGGTGAAGAGGGTATGAGTCACCGAGCTAGGGCTATTGTTTCTTGATGGGCTTAGCGGAGCCTGTTGATGGGCGAGAGATTAGTTTCCAAGCAACCATGTGTAGAACCTCTTAGTTACGTGCAATCTTGCAGGTAGATGGGGGGGGGGGGTTTGCCTGCGTGTGACAGAGGGAGCTCCTCATGGCGTTTGGAGCTCTTTGTCCTTGTGCCATGGCATGGTGTCTGAGGCTTTGTGCAGGCTTATGGAACTGCTTCATCTCACAGCAGGCAAGAGGGCAGATAACCTTGAAGAACCAACTGGAACAGCAAGGCAAAGGAAGACTTTCTTCTCTTAGGTGTGCATTCTCAACTGGCATCACATTGGGTCACCAAGCAATACAGTCCCTTAAGCAAAGGTTTGCACAGTCCATTTTATCACTTATGGGTTATAAAGTCCACAAGAGCACATTAAGTGCCTTGCAGGGCAACAGTGCCTCAACCACCCCCTTCACCTGTCTGCAGCACTGCCTGCATTCCAGATGGCACAAGCAGAATGCTTGCTCTGTGTGCGGGAAGTGGAAATGTTGGGGACAGAAATGTAAACTGAGATAATCTTCAGCGACATCTATGGAGAGTGTTCTGTTGGGAAGATGCCTTGGTGTGAGTTACTCTTGAGTCCTCACTGTTCTTCTGCCCTTACCTCCTGTGCGATGAAAAGATAGTAACACAACTCTTGTTGTGTTTTTAACAATCAGATTTGGTATTCAAAGAACAGGGAGAGTTCAACTATGCACTCCCCTCCTGCCGCACCCCCCCCCCCGAGGCTCAGAGCCTGGTATTCAGTTGCCATGCCCTCTGAGCTGCCCTAAAAGTGGCAGGGAGGGAGGGCCAGCGATGGGAGGCCGTTTTTATGAAGATACTACATGTGGACTGTGAGTCTCAAACTCCACTGAACACATCAGGTGAATGTGTGTTCAGTTCCTGTAATGATTACAGTATTCTCTTTTGATACCAACCCTCCATTTAAACAGAGAACTTTCTGTTGAGTGTTTGCATGACTGAGCCTTGATTAGAAGGGAGAGTAATCCAGTAATCTATATTTTGTTCACATTTCCTTATGGGGTTTATTGCTTTGTATTGAAGCTTGACTTTTCTGTAGTTTAAGGTATGATATGGAGGGTGCGAACAGCTTTTTGAATCATGGCTGAAAGTGAGGGGAAGCAACTGAGCAACCAGGGCAAATGTAGCACATTGCATGCACCAGTTTCCTAGCAACTTGGCCTTGGCAGTCTGTCTTTTTCTTCTCTGCATAGTTGAGCTGTACTAAGAAGTCCTGCGTGAGCAAACTTAATTAAACTTGCGGTTACAATTTCTCTGTGTATTGCTTCTCAATTTGGCCCTTTGGGACCACACACCTTTCTTATCCTTTCACAACAGATATATATCAACCTCTACCTTGCAGGTCCAGAGAATAGTTTTGTGGAACTAACATGTTTTGTATGGTCAAACACTTCTGGAGTGAATTTAATGAACAGGTTCATTGTTAGACTGACCAGCTTTTGCATTGGTATCCAAACTTGAGATCTGCCACCAGATATTTCACAAAATTTATTTTCTAGCTAAAGATACCCAACTCCCATTTATCTGCATCCATGGTCATCTACAATTACTGATCAGTATCCTGATTAGTAATATCCAGTGTAGAAACTAAGAGGTTCGAGGTTTATGTTAGATTGGGCTAGGGCTTCTGTACCTCCAAAGCAAAACTCAAGATTTACAATGGAAAAGGTTTCCCCCCCCCCACTCACCAAGAGTACATATGGAAGGAAATGCAATGCACAAACAGATTGCTGGGTAATCCTGTCCTAATTTAGATGATGGCTTCAGAACTTGGTGTGACATACTTGTCGCAATGTTGTTGGATTTATTTAGTATTAGGTTAATGTTGTTATTTCCCATTGCTCTGCCAAAGCAAGTTTGTGGACAAGGTTATATTCGTGATTTTATTGTTTTACTGGGTTTTATGTTGGGCTTGTGCCCCCTGTAAGCCGCCCTGAGCCCGCTTGCGGGGAGGGCGGGGTAAAAATGCTTTAAATAAATAAATAAATAAATATAAGGTGGGTACCCTCAAAAGAGATAGGTGTAGAACTGATGAAAGGGCCTTAAAATAAGTTGTACTTATTAGGAGGGGATCACAGAGTTCATTTGTCTCCTCTCGTAACATTTATTTCCTTCATTTGTAGTCACTTTTCTGTGTCCAAATGCATGTGAATAGGCTTTCTGCATACCAAATTAAGTTAATCTTTTTTTCTTTTCTTTTTTGCATTGGCAGGCTTGTTTTAGCAGGCATTCTAGTAACAGGAATACTAATGAAATAAGTACATTTCCAGCTCTGAGTATTTTTATATCTCTGCCATGTATGTTGAAGGCCTAGGGACACAAACTTGTACTTAAAGAAATAATATATACATAAATATATAATAATAACATGTTCATGTAACTGGTAATGCAAGGTCTGAAGCACAGTCCTGCAGAGTTTGTGGAAATACTTAGAAATAAATGTAGATGGTTGTCTTGGATGTTTATTACTGAGTTCACATCACTTCTCTTGCATTTTTTTTCAAATGGGGTATACAGCTTAAAAAGGTAAAGGTAAAGGTTCCCTTGTTCGAAAGCCAGTCGAATCTGACTCTAGCGTTGCGGTGCTCATCTCCGTTTCAAAGCCGAAGAGCCAGCGCTTTCCGAAGACATTTCCATGGTCATGTGGCTGGCATGACTAAGCACCAAGGCGCACGGAACGCTGTTACCTTCCCTCTGAAGTGGTACCTATTTATCTACTTGCAATTTCTTGCTTTCGAACTGCTAGGTTGGCAGGAGCTAGAACTAGAGACGGGAGCTCACTCCGTCATGCGGCATGGTCTGCACACGCTGACCCCCCGACCTTCCACAGCCTGCCGTTCAGTGTCTTAACCACTTGAGCGACCGCACCTCCTCACAGTTTAGGGACATGCTAAACTGGCTTTGTGACATTTAGGCTGAAATAGCTGACCATAAATGCATGCTCGTAGAAGATGCTTGAGATGGAACCAAAACGCCTGAAATGAAATTAGAAATCATGAAACAGAGAAAATAAAGAATGCAGATTTCTTAAATTCATTTGGTTTTAAGTAATGTGCCCATGTTGGGTTGGGCATTTGAACAACAAAAGTTATAGCATATGTATTTTTATAATGAACTTGTACCAAGAGTTTTCATACTTACAAATAACTGAAAGAATTCAGCTCTTAAAATGACATTACTATTGAAAGTGCCTACAATTATAGTGAGTGAGCTGTGGAAGAAAATTTGTTCAGGACTGCTGCAAGGCTGGGAAACAAGGAATCATAAGATGACCTGCAGCAAATTTTGCTATTTCATGCTTGCATTAACAACTATGCAGAACAGGCTGGCAGCACCTTTCAGAGTAAGATGGTGGTTTGATCATAGCCTTCCTGGGCACAGTTCCTGCAGACTGTATCAAGGGTTGAATATAGAATGGTCAAGCATGGAAATCAGCAGGGTTGCTAAACGACTGCATCTTCCTCTCCAGCCCGCTGATCAACCACTCCGTAGCGCCTTTTTACACCTGCAGCCATGTGCAAGCAGTTTCGCTGTGACGCTATTGCGGGGATCCACCACGCAGTGCCTGTAGGTACCGTGGCACCCACCAACACCTTTTCTGGCACCCACCAAGTGTTTTTAGGACGTGGATGGGGCCAGGATTCTGATGGAGGATTGGAGATTTGATTGGCTGTGCAGATTTAAAAAAAAATTGCTTTGGCAGCATGTGCCACCACAACACAATGACTTGTACTGTGTTACTAAAGTTAAGCTGTGGCAGTCATTTTGTGGCTGGGTCTGCCCCCCCTGTGGCAGTCATTTTGTGGAGGCCATTTTGTGGCTGCACCCACCATGCCATGTCAATTCCAAATGTGCCCACAGGGTCAAAAAGATTGAGGATCCCTGTGATATTGCATGTAGCTGGTGTGTGTGTGTATTAGTGGTCATGTAGGTGTGGCATGCAGATAAAGGAAGGGAACCCCCTCCCCCGTAGTCTTTATGACTGTTGAGCACAAATAGCAATTGCATGGTATATTGGTATTGAGAATCCGCTGTAAGTTTGCATGAAGTAGATATAATCAGTCCATTATTTTTAGGGTGGGCTTCCGTGGTAGAGCTGGCACAATCATGAAAGCAGCCTCACTTGTCCCGATTCTGCAAGGAATATGCTAACTAATAGAGAATTTAGAAAGGGATTTTTAAATGACTTTGCTAACTGCCTTGTTTGTTTGATTTCCGTTCAGGGCCCTTGCCAGAACCAGTTGCCAATGGTGATGTAGAAAAGGTAAAGATTATGCCAGAACATTCATGGTCTTATTTTGTACAATGGCTTCCTTTTACTTGTTGCTGACTTGCTATACAGAAAGCACTTCTGTGTAGGAAACTACCATGACAATAGGCCAGACTTGTTTGTGATGGGCCTACCTATTCATTTTATTATATGTATTTAAATTCGCATGTTTTTAATTTTTTTACAGCAATTGCTTTCTGGTCCATTTTGTATCCATGTTGTATAATTGTATTGTATTATGGTATAACCCAATTTGTTCCTCATTGTGTTTGACCTCTGAAGAAGGCCTACACAGGCCGAAATGTGTCAGGTCAAGTCCACTGGCCCTTGTGTGTATGACTTTGGTATTTTTATATGAGGTGTAATTGGGCCCGTATGTGTTTTTTAATTCTTTACTGGTAAATACATGTAGTTTTACATTATATACATTAAGTTTTAATTGTTGGCCCTCCTCTCTGTTTGACTTCCCACTTTAGATTCTTGATCCCACCTACTTGGGTGACCATGCACTGCTCACCTTTATGAATTCTCTGCACTGCCCCAATTGGTTCTCCTTATGTTTCACCCTGCAACTCCCCCAGTTAGATTTGATGTTGTGTTAATCCTACTCTGCCCATTGAGAATGGTCCTCATCCTCTCTGAACGGAATGATTTTGTTACTGTTTCAAGCGGGTCTGTCTTTTGTGACCTCTCCTCACTCCCACCTTTTCTGTTGCATGCAACCTGAGATATAAATGTATGCTGTGGCTGTACACGCCAGTGTATCTGATGAAGTGAGCTCTGACTCACAAAAGTTTATGCTGGAATAGCGCGATTTGAGTTCAGTAGCACCTTTACAGACCAACAATATTTCCAGGGTATAAGCTTTCCAGAGTCAAAGCTCCCTTTGTCAGGTATTTTTAAGGTATGACTAGACTCGAATCTTGCCCTTCTACTGCAGATAGGGTTGCCAGGTCCCTGATCTTCGGGGCTCCAATCTGCTGCCAGCCAACTGCAGCCTGTCGTGGGTCTACACGGTCGGCACGGTGATGTCATATGGAAGTGACAGCATCACACTGGGGATGTCACGCGTCAACGCTCTAGCCATTCATGCACGATGTCCCCGGTGTGATGACATCACTTCCATGTGACATCATCGCTCTGACCACGTCGCATGCAGCAGCATTGCCCCTCCCCCCCCACTCCCGGACGGCTCCTTCCCCCACCCCCTGCTGCCAGGACAGTCGGACCTGGCAACCCTAACTGCAGAGCAACACAGCTACCCCATCTGACACTATCTCATGCTGGAATGTACTTCTGTTAGCCTTTACGGTGCCTCTGGACGTGTGTGTAACTTGGCAATGTATGTTTAAGTATGTCAGCTGCTCGTGGTGAACTCTTCTCCTGTAGAGGTCCTTCTATGTAAGAAATGCACAATGTTTAAAGCGGCTCTGACCACCCACTGCCCCAAGCTAGGGGGGTGGGAGCGGGTGAGCATCTTGCTGGGGTTTTTTTATCGTTTGTGCTGTAGAGCAAAGCTGACCTCTTGGGGAGGGGAAGGGGGAGCCCTCCAAGGCATGTCACTCATGGCCAGGCCTGCCTCTTATCTTGGAACAGAGTAGCTCATTCTTCAGTCTGTGGGTGGAAACCCACAGTCAGGGCTGCTGTTCCAAAAGGCCACGTTACTTCCAGTCTGCTTTGAAAACACAAAACCTAATTAAACAAAGACCAGAAAGGAAGCCTCATTAGAAGCTCAAAAGAAGGGCAGGGTACCAATTATAATATCCATTAGGGGACAGAACAAGGACGTTTCCAGACTAGATAAACTCAGTGAATATAGTGAACTCCTTTCTTCGAAATCTCTCTACTTTTTGCATGGCAAGCTGATGGATCTCACATCCACAGCACAATCCCATCAGAATTGGAAATAAGGCTCTAGCACTACTTGCCAGATGGTTAATTATCATGTGACATTGTATGTATAATAGCCAGGAGAGCTTAAGATTGTCTGGCAGCCAGAAGTTCTAGCTGTTTAGCATTATTAGGTGGCAAGCTGGACTTTAAGGCAAGAGACATTTCTGAGGTGGTTTGCCATTGCCCGCCTCTGCATCACAAGACTGGTATTCCCTGGAGGTCGCCCTTCCAAATACTAGCCAAGGCTGACCCTGAGCTTACAGGATCAGGCTCGCCTGGGCTATCTAGGTCAGGGCAAATAGGCCACAAATGGGCCTGAATGTCTAGTTGTCTAGTTGTCGGGGGGGGGGGGAGCAGTGTTTTTTCCTTGACCAGAGCTGATTACTCTTAACAAGCTAAGAGCTCCTGTCTTACAGACAAAAACATTTCTTTTGGCTGCATTCAGACATCATAAACATTGTAGGAGTGTGTCTCTTCACCAAATGCATGAGCCGGCCAATTAGAAAAATTGCTCTACCTCCATTTCTGCTAAGTATCTGTATGGCTCTTAAGTTCCAGAATTTGGTCTCTCTTTTCAGGAGAACAGCAAAGATGAGCAGCCAGAGCCTGTCTGTGAAAGTCCTCCTAGTCCTGACCACTTGCCTGCTTCCCCCACTGTGAATGAAACTCACTATGAGGTATGAAAAACAACCTGGGTACCAAACAGGTGGTGCGGGGAGGCCAAGTGCACTGCATAAGTGTTACTTAGAGTGGTAAGAGGATTTTGCCTAAGAAAGGCCAAGTATATCCTGTTGCTCAGTGGTGGGAAACTTGCCTGTCAGGAGCACTTTCCCCTTTTCGACAATGTAAAGCGATCAAAGCTTTGCCAACCCTTTTGCTGCCCTGCAGAGGGGAAGACGTAAAGGAGATCTGATGCGGAGTGCCTAGAATAAATAAAGCTGGGCATAGTTCCTGAGATGCTGAATACCTGGACCTGGTTCCAGAGATACTGAATGCTTATTACTTCCCTTGGCTGGAACTGCAAACAGCCCAGCCCATTTGAAAATGCTTCCACTTAAGACCTGAACTTCTGAGGCCTGCTGTTTTCCTGGAGTTGTCTACAAGACTTTTGTGGTACAAGGCAACTGGTGATCCTCATCGGATTCTATAAATGTTCTGGAAAATGTGGTGCATATGTAGCCCAGATCCATGGCTCTTCTGGGCAAGGCCAAAAGCAAATAGGATTAAGTGCAAGAGTCTGTGTTGGAAGTCAGTGTGTTGCACAGATCTTGTGCATTGTGGGAGTTTTTTTCTGGATGGTGTCATACTGTAACAGGTCAAAACATGCACACTGCAGCTGTTGTGGGGCAGAGATGAGCAGAGTACAAGGGAGTAGCAACATTTAATACACACAGTGTTGCATTTCTGTCTCTGGGGAATGTCCTCTCTTTAGAAGAAGAGAAGAGATTGGATTTATACCCCGCCTTTCACTACCCAAAGGTATCTCAGAGCGGCTTACAAACTCCTTTCCCTTCCCCTCCCCACAACAGACACCCTGTGAGGTGGGTGGGGCTGAGAGAACTCTGACACAAACTGCTCTTTTTCAAGGACAGCTGTGCCAGAGCTTGTGACTGACCCAAGGTCACATCAGCAGGTGCAAGTGGAGGAGTGGGGAGTCAAACCCGGTTCTCCCAGATTAGAGTCCGCACACTTAACCATTACACCAAACTGGCTCTCTTTACACTTGTTCTAGGCTCTCTTTACACTTGTGCACCATTAAGGCCAATAAACTAAACATGCCACAGGATACCAGTTAACAGGAGAAAATAGTGCTTCAGGTCTTTGTGGGTATCTGTAGGATCAGACTTTGTTACCCCTTCTGTGACCTCAACATCTTGTCAGGATTAATGAGAATATAAGGAAAATGAACGAAAACACTATCCTGAGCATTCAGTCAAAGTTGCACAAACTGGTAAACGTTTAGTGTGCCTAAAAGTCCACTGACCATAAAAGTGCTCACAGATCTTTCCACGTTCTCCCTTCCCCCAGGAATTTCCTTGCACCCACACGAAGGAAAAAACAATCCAGCCACAGAAGTTGCAGTGAAGAGAGGAAGCTAGGCAAAATGACCCCCATCTTTCTCTTCCACCATTGGAGGTTCTGTTGGCACAAGAGTGAAATGGGGGTGATCTTGTTCATTCCTCTGGCTGCGTGGGTTCCACAGCCTTCACCATTAACTTTATGGGGTCTTGAGGAAAGCACAGCGAAGGGGTAGGCAGGAAAGATCCATGTCCATGAGCACATTCTCTATGTGTTTCATAGGATCCAACTCTGCATTTTTGTATTTACTTGTTTTGTAAGCTCCCTTGAGAGTTCTTGGGCTGAAAGGTGAGAGATAGACATTTTTAATGTCTTTCTACTTGCTTGACTCATCCCCCCCGCATCAGTGTCTTGCCTGTTTTTTATCAGTGACTGAGGGGCCTCGTGCATTCTGGGAAATAGAACTCGTAGGATGCCAGGCACTTGTGCTAGGAGTCTCAGTCACTGGTACAGGAGAGGCAGCGGGGAGGAGGGCAGTCCTGCCTACTGGCAGGCCTGTTAGGTCCACTGCTACAACAGAAGCATGCATCTTGGTTTGAGATGAGAGGCTGAAGGCTTTAGGAACGCTGTGGTGGTCCCAGTGACATCAGGCATACCATAGGGTTCTGAGAGGCATGAGTGTACAGAATCAGGCTTGAGATAATCATAGCTGCTCTGCTCCTATGCATAGATTTGCCTTAGTCATTTTTAATGATAAGACAAGAATTCCAGTAAGAACAAATTATGCAAAAGACATTCCTGGTCTGTCAAATTACATTAATATAGATATTTGTCTTTGCCCATACAAATCCTCTGCCCAGAATATGTCCAGCCCTGGACTGGAGCCTTGGGCTATGCATAGCGGCAGAAGAGATGGAGATTGGGTAGGACAGCAGTGACCTCATGTTTGCAGTGAGCTCTAGTTTTATTTGCTGTCCTGTTCTTGCAGGTCAACTCTCAGGAGAAGGTAGAGAACCGCAGCTCTGTATCTGACCCTGTACTTGATTTGGACATCCCCCTGGCAGTGGCCAAGGAGCGGGCCCACCAGAAGCGCACCAGCAAAAGGGCACCTCAGATGGACTGGAGCAAGAAGAATGAACTTTTCAGCAACCTTTGAAGTGTTTCATCCCCAAGCCAGGAGGAGAAGTGGGGGCAGTACCATAAAATCTGGCCTGATCTTCCTTGACTTTCGTTACCAGCCTCCAGTTTCTTGGGGAGAGCTTCTTCCCACTCCTTCCCTACCCTTTCCCCTCTCTTAGCCCGGGGAAGCACAATCTTTTCTATCTTGTGTAATCTGACAAAAAACAAATGGTATGATGACTGCTCCTGTACAGTTCTAGGGAAGTAAATGCATTTTTAAAAAATGATGAGATTTTTATACACTGTCTATAAATACTTCAGTGGGTTTCATATGAGTGTGTGGCAAGGGGTTGGTTCATCTAAGAATCAGAAACTAGTATGGGGCCCATGCAGAGTGCTGTCCACATCACTGCATTGAGGAGGAACATGCTGATATTCTTTTCCCCCAAATGCAGCAATAATATTCTTAGTGGAAACTTGTGTTCAGGACAAGGTTTGAAGGTACCAAGCTTAAGACCCCTAATGTGGTATTAATGCGCTTAGTACGTTTTAAAGAGCAACAGTGTCAAAAAGATCTAAACCTGGACACCTAAAATAATCTTAAATTGTTGCTCTTAGCTGACTTGTGTCAGAAAAATCTGATTGGATCCTGATAGGAATACATGTGATTGTTTGGGGGACTATAGCATTAGGATGATATGGAGGATTTAAAAAACAATGTTTCCTTGATCTCCTTTTTGGAAGGCAATAAACTTCCGTTTCCACAAGGTTGCATTTTCCTCTGACTAGAAATTCCATCCCTAACACTCCAGTCTTTTTATCACTTTTCTGAATAATCGTTCATTAGAAAAGATTGGAAGCAATAGTAAGGCTGTCATTCATGGGACAACAAGACTTTTGTTGTGTTGCCTCACCTAGGCTTCAAATAGTTCGATCACACTCAAATTCTGAGGTGAGAAGGAAACTTCAGAAATGGTCTTGGCTATAGGTAGGTGGGCGTTTGTTCTTGTTCAGGCCTAACATAGCTACTGAAAAGATCCAAGTGTGTTACCACAGAGCTTGAGCTCATCAGGGTTTTCAGTAATAATGCTTAATTAACAGTTTATATAAAAACTGTTTCACTTTCTGAAATGTGATATTTTCTAATTGCATTCCTGCTCCCCTGACCCTTTTGTCTACATATGTTGTGGAAATTATTCTTTTCCTTGAATGTTTTATTTTCTTGATTTAATGTTTGTACTGTCAAATGCAAGAAGAAGAAAAAATCTGTTTACTAGAAGGAAAAAATCACCTTGACTGTGTGTGTATTCATTTTATGTCTGTTAGCAAATCTTGGAGCTTGTGACTAGGCAGTCTTCCTGACCTTACAGCTTTTTAGGTATGCTATGAGGAGAATTATCATGTTGCTAGAATCTGATTAACATAAACAGAATAGGCTGCAAATGTAGTTTCACCCTGCCCCCTTCTCAGAAACCCAAATCCTTTCTGGTATGACTGTGTGTTAACTCATTGGTGTCTGTGTTTAGGGTAAAGAGAGACCATGGTAGGGATGTATGAAATGTTTTCTCCTTCAGGCATTTTTTCCCACTAGGAAACTGTGGTACTCCATCTGCAAATGAATGTTCCATTTTTGTAGTGATGCTTGAACTTTAAGTTTATAGTGTTCAGCTGAAAGCTGGCAACTTGAACTGAAGTCAGTAAGTAACCTTTTTTGCTAATGGCCGCAGTGATGGCTCCAACCTCCAAGCAGGCTACCAGACAAAAGCCTGAAGCAGAGGAAGAAAACCATTTAATGGGCTAAACGTTGACGAAACTTCCAGTGCAAATGTGAATCTCTCCACTGAAGTAATCCAGTGAATATAGTTAATATTGGGCTAAGCTGCTACTCCTCCATCTGGGGTTATATTTTTATTGACAAGGTTTGATGTTTTGGAGGGGGAAAAGGGATCCAGTGATTTCTGACACTGAAGTGCTGATCACTCGGTGCTGCTATCACTCAGTGTTGATATTACCCCTTCCGTCTGTGGCCTGCACCCACTACCCCCTTGGGAAAGGGTGAGATAAAAATGTATTTAATCATTCCCATTCCCCACTCCCATCTTGCAGCAGAAGGCACTGCTGCTCTGGCCAAACCAAGAGCTAGAGGAGGTGAGTACGGGCTCTACTGGTAGCAGGAGCTCCTTTGCATATTAGGCCACACACCCCTAGTGTAGCCAATCCTCCAAGAGCTTCTTACTGGGGCTACTGTAAGCTCTTGGAGGATTGGCTACACTAGGGGTGTGTGGCCTAATATGCAAAGGAGCTCCTGCTACCAGTAGAGCCCAAGATCTTATTCTAAGTGATCCCCCAAATCAAGCACCTGGGGTCCCTGGTTCTGACTTTCCTTGCCACGTGATCCTGGACAGGAAACAGAACCTAGTTAGCCATGTTTCTTTGAATAACGTAGGGTAGACAAAAAGTGACAAGCAAGTGATCCTTAAAATACCTCAAAGGAGAGGAAAGCAAAGGCACCGAGCTGGACATCAAGCTGCCCTCTATCACACCAGAAAGTGGCCTTGTATTGGAAAAAGCAGTAGGGGAATGTTCTTCCAGTATTGCCTCTTGGTTAATCTGTAACTTGGGTAAATGATGATTATACGGTAGAATATTAGAAGTGGAAAGCTCAATAGCACAAACAGTCTTTTTGTTAGATGGCAAGGAAGGGAAATAACAGGGTACTGCAGTATCATGCAGAGGTACTGGAAGAGAATTCAGCTACTGATAAGCAAAGGAATGAGAATGCCCAAGATCTTTGTTGATTCTCACTAAAGGCATATCTAGTTTTAAGAAGGTATTGGTAAGCGAACTAGTATTGTTTTCCTTCTGTCCTATAAAGTATTTAATGCGTCCAGTTGTGAGAATCTTAGACTTGTTGGTGAAGTGTGGCTCAGTACGACAGCGTCTGCTTTGTATTCAGAAGCTCGCAGCTTCAGTCCCTGGCATCTCCATTTATAAAGGAGTGGGTAGCAGGGGATATGGAGTACTCCTACTTGCCTGAGACCCTGGAGAGCCAATGTCATTCAGAACAGATAATACCGGATTTCTTAGACTAATGGTCTGTCTTGTCATTTTTCTGTTCTTGGAGAGGCAGATGGTGTTTGATACAGGGGAGTCTGACATGCAGCTATTTCTGATTACATATATTGGTTTCTCGCCCCCCTCCCCCCCAAATTAGCTAAAGGAATGGAATGTAGATAGCAGGTCCAGAAATATGGGTTTGTTTTGTTTAAGGAAGCAGCAGAACAGGCCTCTGTATGTGAAGCTGTGAGGAAAACAGGTTCGTATTGCAATGAATCCGGGATGCAGAAGGATATTAATGTAACTGATGAATCAACTTTATATTTGAGCACAGAGCACAAAGCAACTGTGGTGTTTTAGGTCCCAGGAAGAATGCATCATTAACTTACAAAGGAAGTGATTATGAGTTAATAGTCCTCTCAAACCTTCCCAGTTCTGGGAGCAAAGGTAACAGAATGACTTTTAAAAGCCCCTCAGTAATAAAACAAATCCTTGTTCAGCACTCATTGAAGAAATCATAGAATCATAGAGTTGGAATGAACCTCCAGGGTCATCTAGTCCCATCCCCTGTACAATGCAGGAAATTCACAAATACCTTCCCCCCACATCCCCAGAGTATGCTGTTCTACGCCCAGAAGATGACAGAAAACCTCCAGGATCTCCAGCCAAACTGGTCTGGAGGAAAATTGCTTCCTGACCCCAAAGTGGTGATCAGCAATTCCCTGGGCATATAAGAAAGGGCCACAAGAACTAAGCACTGATGCAACTCTTCCTGCCGTCCCTCTCATGATCTGCCTAAGTTCACACAATCAGCATTGCTGTCAGATGACCATCTAGCCTCTGTTTGAAAACCTCCAAAGAAGGAGAGCCCACCACCTCCCAAGGTGGCCTGTTCCACTGAGGAACTGCTCTATTAGTTGTGTGGGACAATCTACCCTCCTTTCATCTGATTTTTGTTCACTAAATACAAAATCCGAAGTGCAAAGTGATTAATTTGTGTCTCCAAAACAGGAAGGCGGAGAGGTCTCAGCCTATCTATCCATAGGATAATAGTGGCTTTGGATTATTAAACTACTCTTAATTCCCATGGATAGTACAGGGAAGGAGAGAAAAGAATAAGACCGCTGCATGTATCAGCTCTATAACCTCTCCTTGGCTGGAAAGTCTCCCCAGGAAATAGTTCCCACAAACTCCGCTGATCATTTTGGTGTTTACTGACCTGATTTAGAAGGCAGCAGCCCCTGAGCACTTGCTCTTTTGCAGAAGCACAGCAGGATTTCTCAACTGTGGATAAATTCTTCTAAGGCATGTGTAAGCCTTGGTCTGACCCACGCTAGAAAATCCTTCTGGCATCACAGATAAGATGATATACTGCAAAGGACTCAGCATTTGGCATGCTGTTACAGTCTGTGGAAGATATTGTGGTCAGAGTTATGACTTCATATGGTGCTGCTTACTGTGAAAAGTGCTTGACAGTCTCCAGCCTCTGAAGAGCTGTCAACCACCCAAGGTTCCGGGGGGGGGGGGGGAATGCCGTGGGTTGGTGGTAGATAAGAATTACCAGGCCAAAATGAGTCAGTCATAACTATGACATCCTTAAAGACAAGACTTTATTTCAAATATAAGTTTCTATGGATGAGTCCCCTTTGCCAAGCTGATGTAGTGGTTCCTCACGGGGAAGACAATGCTAGGACCCACTATGTGGATCTGATGAATTAAACTATAGTCCTCGAAAGCTTATGCTGAAATAAAATCTTGTTAGTTTTTAAACTGCCACTACTAAACATCTCTTGCCTTGAAAACGCTATGGGGCTGCCATAAGTCAGTTTTGACTTGATGGCAATTTCCACCACCACTGTCCTGCTTATTTTTAGTCCAACAGAGTAATCCTGCTGCCCCTCTGCAATTATGAAATCTTTGCAATGCTGAAGTATAAATTTACTATGCTCTCCTCTCATGTAGAAAGGATGCAGTGCTATTTTGTCAGTGTAAATGTAGTAGACAGTGCATTGTTATGCTACATCTGCCAGTACCAGAAGGTTTGCTATATTAGTTCCTTGTAGCAAAAACAATGCCGTATGGTAGCTTAAAGACTTACCACATTTATTGTTGGATCAGTTTTGATGGGTTACAACCAAGTTTGACAAATACATGAAATAGTATGTTCAATAGACAGGTGCAAAGGAAACAGGTGTAAAAAGGCATAAAATGCAAAGTGTAGCAGCGGGTCTGACATTCTTGTATTGTTTACAAGATAAGAACAGGTTTTTCAGTATGAACAACCATCCAAAGTATGTCCATGTTTTGTTAGTGGTAGGTACTGCTGACTCTGAAACTCTGCTGTTGTCTTTAGGCAGTCTTGGCCCATGGATTCTTGAAACCACTAGGAACAGCAGCAGTGACCACAGACTTGGTCTAGATGATAAATATTATCTGGCCCTGGCAGTCCTACCAAGTTTTAACCAACATATAGTAAAAAGATTGCTCACGGTCTTAAGAAATAATTACATACATTGCGGGGTGGTGGTGGAGTATTTTAAAAATGCATTAATACTTCACACTTTCCTACATGTAGAATAAAAAAGAAGTGTAAAATGTATGATCTTCTTTGTGGTCTCTATGCATCATACGTCTGGGATATAGTGCGCCTGCGCCGACCCCAATCGGTATAATGGAAAGCAAAAGGAATTTTTGCACCCGCTCCCCAGTCACGTGCCAGGCTCCACTGTGCATGACTAAGGGGAGGGCATGAGGATCCCGCCAGTTCTTTTCTGACCGCCGTGCTGGTAGGACCTCTACGCTTCGGTCAGTAAAGTTCATTGGCTTTAGGCCTTCTTTCTCTTCTTACTTCAATTAGTTAGTTAAGGAAAGTTATTTAGTTAGTTAGTTTTTCAGTTGGGACTATCTCCGCCTCCGCGGAGACACTCTCTCCCCCTTCCTCCGGCCTAGGGCCATGAGGTGTGGTTTCTTTAAACGGTGCTGGACTTGTGGCAGAAAAATTGCCCCCTCTGACGGACACTCTCTTTGTCTCCTGTGCCTCGGGGAATCGCACTGTATTGACTTTTGCTTCCACTGTTCCAAGTTCTCCAAACAGACCAGGAAGAAT